CCCGGTGGTGCGCCGGCTGACAACCGACCTTCGGGGTTGGACTTATCGGGCCTAGTCTGGACGCGATAAGTCGAACCCAGAAGTTCGATTGCCAGCCGCCGAACTAGCGGGTAAGTGTAGCCAAGGCCTCACAGAATGAACTCGCACCAATACAGGTGGTGTGGCTGAAACTTTCGTATGCAGACTTGATGCAGGAAAAGACCGTTACCTTTCCGTAACTGGTGTTCTTCGAGATGTGTTGCTCACGTCCATTCCACAATAGGTGTGCATGCTCGCCATGTGCACTGGTGCCGGAAGTTTTTCCTTTAGCAGTACCTGTAGGGGAGCGCCCCTAGCGACCCCTGGAGTGGCACCGCTATGGCGCGGTATAAGGGGCGCTGGGTGCTCCCCCCACCTTCAGTTCCTTCTTGCCAGACAACTCCGACAGTGGGGAAGGAAGGCAGGATGTGGAATGGACATGAGCAACACATCTGTCTTTTCTTCTTCGAGTGATTGCTCATGTGCATTCCACAATAGGTGATTCCAAGCTATATCTGTTGGAGGTGGGTAGGAGTTCACAGACACTCGGGACAGAGCACTGCCCTGCTGAACCCGGCGTCCTCCCTGGTTTGGGAGATGATCGCATAATGCGAGGTGAACGTGTGGACCGATGACCATGTGCAGCTCTACAGACGTCCTGAACAGGGACATGGGCCAGAAAGGCAGCCGATGAGGCTTGCGCCCTAGTCAAGTGTGCTCTCACAATCGGTGGCGGGGGAACGGATACACAAAGTGATCCAGTTGGAGAGCCGCTGAGAGGAGATCAGCCAACCTTTCATGCGTTCAGCCGTGGCAATGAACAATTGTGAAGACTTCCTGAACAGCTTTGTACATTCCAGGTAAAAAGTCAGAGCCCGTCTCACATCCAACATGTGGAGGCGGCGCTCCTCACTGGACACATGGGGTTTGGGAGAGAGCACCGTCAGGAAAATGCCCTGGCCCATATGATAGGTGGAGACCACCTTAGGGAGGAACGAAGAGCATGGGCGGAGCTGGACCATATCCTTATGGAACACCGTGTACAGGCGTTTGGAGGTCAGGGCCCGGAGCTCCGAGACCCGTCTAGCAGACGTGATCGCAACCAGAAAGGCTACTTTCCACGAGAGGTGTGACCAGGAGCATGTAGAAAGCGGATCAAATGGAGGTCCAGTTAGCCTGGCCAGCACCAAGTTCAGGTCCCACTGGGGGAATGGGGGCTAACATACAGAAAGAGGCGATCCAAGCCCTTAAGAAATTGACCAGTCATGGCATGAGAGAATATTGTCTGGCCCTGCACTGGCGGATGGAAGGCCGATATGGCTGCCAGGTGCACCTTGATGTACAAGGGCGCTAGGCCCTGGGCTCTAAGATGAAGGAGGTAGTCTAGTATAAGCTGGATCGGAGCAGCCACTGGCGAGACACCCCGATCAGCAACCCACCAGGGAAAAACGAGACCATTTCACCAGGTAGGCCTGACACATGGAGGGCCTCCTGCTCTCCAGGAGGACACACTGAACTCCTTCCAAGTCCTCTCCTCCCAGCCTAACCATTGAGCAGCCTAGCCGTGAGGTGGAGGGCTGCTAGGTTGGGGTGGAGGAGGCAACCTTGGTCTTGGGAGAGCGGGTCCGGGTGGGCTGGCAGGCAACGGCCACAGCGGGGCAACTGCCAAGCTCGTGAGAGTCCTGTACCAATGCTGCCTGGGCCATGCCAGGGCGATCAGAAGGACATGGGCCCTAACCATCTTTATCTTTTCCAAGACCTTGCCGATCAGTGGAATTGGGGGAAAGACATAGAAAAACTGACCAACTAGGACAGAAGGAAGGCATCGGATATCGCGCCCATGCCCAACCCTCCCCTGGAGCAGAAGCAGTGACACCTGTGGGTCATGAACAGGTCCACTTGGGGAATGCCCCACATTTGGAAAATCCTGTGCACCACCTCCGGGTGCAGCGACCATTTGTGCTGAGAGGAGAAGTCATGGCTCAGCTGATCCGCCCAAGAGTTTTGAATGCCCAAAAGATGGTGGGCTTCCAAGTAGATATCATGGGCTATGCAGAAGCCCCACAGCCTGAGGGCTTCCTGTAAGAGGGCTGAGAAGCAGACCCTGCTTTGCCTGTTGATGTAGAACATCGAGTCCGTGTCGTCCATGAGAACCCTGACCACTCGTCGCTAGGCACGAGTGAAAAGCCACGCAGGCTAGACGGACTGCCCTGAGCTCCTTGA